GTCACGCTGCTGCAGGGCAAGGACCTGCTGGAGAAGGAGGATGCGCGCTTCGAGTCGTGCTTCATGCGGATCAGCCTCCTGCCGGCCGAGCAGATCGTCGGCATCTCCCGGGTGAGCCCCTCCTTCCCCAACAGAGCCCTGGGAACGCCTGGATCACCCTGGGGATTTGGGGGGCAGCGTCCCCTGGCCTCATTCCCCGAGAAAATGGTGGGAGCAGGGAGCTGCAGGCATGGCAGGATCAGGAATGGTTGGCCCAGGATCTGGGGGATATCAGCTCCCCAAGGAAATTGTGTGGTTTGAGAGCAGGTAGTGTCAAGCATGCCAGGATCAGGAATGGTTGGCACAGGATTTAGGGGATATCAGCTCACCAAGGAAGTGGGGAATGGGGTTTGGGAGCAGGGAGCTTCAGGCACACCAGAATCAGGAATGGTTGGCACAGAATCTGGGGAATATCAGCTCCCCAAGGAAATTGTGAGGTTTGGGACCAGGGAGCTGCAGGCATGCTAGGATCAGGAATGGTCTGGCACAGAATTTGGTGGATATCCGTTCCCCAACGCAGTCATAGGATTTGGGTGTATGGAATTCCAGGCTGGATGTGGTTGACAATGGATTTTGGGGTGAGTCTCAGCTCCCCAAAGCAGTGATGGGATTTGGGAACAGAGAGCTCTGGATTGGCACAGGATTTTGAGGGATGTCCCAGGTGGGTTTGCATATCAGAAACGCCTGCTGGCACAGAATTTGGGGGATAACAGCTCCCCAAGGAAATGGTGGGGTTTGGAAGCTCCAGGCATGCCAGGATGAAGAATGGTTTGGCACAGGATTTGGGGGATATCAACTCCCCAAGGAAATGGTGGGATTTGGGTGTATGGAATTCCAGGCTGGATGTGGGTGACATGGGATTTTGAGGTGGGTCTCAGCTCCCCACAGCAGTGATGGGATTTGGGAGCAGAGAGCTCTGGATTGGCACAGGATTTTGAGGGATGTCCAAGGAGGGTTTGCATATCAGAAACCCGGCAGAGGCAGGAATGTCTCTCCCCTCTTGGCTGGGATTTGGGCTGACTGTGTCATCTCCAAGCGTGGCTGGGGGCAGGTTTTCCTGCTTGGCTGTCCCTGCTGGGGAAGGGACCCTGTGGCATGTGGAGGCCTGGGGTGGGATTTGGGGGGCAGTGGCAGTTTGGGCAGGTGCTGCTGTGCCTTGCCATGGCCCCACAGTCCCCTGAGTCCCCACAGTCCCTCTCCTTCCCACAGCAGCCCCAGTGCTTTTCCCTCCCCACAAAGGATGGGGCAGTGGAAAATCCATGTGGCAGCGCTGACAGCCACAACCAGGGTTGGCTCTGGCGCAAAACCTCCCTTTTTAAGTGCCTCAAAAGCTGCTTTTGGAAAGCAGGAGCCTCAGTTTTCTTCCAACAGCTCCTCTGTTGCAGAGTCAGTTTGATTTAATCAGGATATCCCAGCAAGGAGTGGGAATTTGGTCCCCATTGAGGCACCTCTCCACTGGGGTGGAGGTGCCATTCCATCCCCACAAACTGGCTGCTGCCTCCAAAATATTTCCACAGTGCCCTTTTAGACCATTTTCCCATCCAAATCTCTGGCTCTTTATTTATGCTCTGGAGATATTTATTATTTAGTGTCATTATTTATAATTCACCAGCACAATTTACCTCCTCAGCTGCCCCAAGGCCATGGATAAAGACCCAGCTGCTTTTTTTTCCCCCAGTGCTTCTGGAGGGTTTTTAAATAGCAGCTCCTGTTTGGTTGTACTTGATCCAGAGCTCCCAAAATACAGCGTGGGCTGCAGACAGAGAGTCTGTAAAATCTGCAGGGCTTTAAAATCTGCTCTTCACACAGAGGAACTCTGGAGGTTGGTGGTATCCAGTGGGAGAGCATGGACCAAGAAGGCAGGAATGGCAGGTGCTGCCTTTGTGTCCTTTATCCCAGGGATGGATCAGGGTTAGGAGCAGATTGAGACAGGAGAGAGTCCTTGGAGGAGATGACTGGAGAGTCCTCGGAGGAAAATCTCCTGGGGGGCTTTTGGGGTGACAGAGTCCCACAGAGAGGTCCCTACTCCACCCAGATTTGGGTGGCTTTGGGGAGCTGGTGGTTCTACTTTGCTCCATGCTATCCAAGGCTGCAACCTTCCATCCCATGGGACAAACCCCTGGTTTCCCTGTGACATGTTGGATGCTAAAACAGGGCTGGAGTAGTGGGAAAAAAAAAAATCCCTAAATCCATGACTTCAGAGCACTCCCCCTCAGCCAGTTCTTTGGGATCAGCACCTGCAGGATGAGCCATGGGAGCTGCTGCTGCCTCTGCTCCCAGGGAATGACTTGATACAGGGACACAGCTCCATTCCCACTGGGCACATTCAGGAGCTGGTTCTGCTTGGGGAATGGCTGAGGGTTATGTCTTGCAGCCATAAATCCTGTTGCCTGATACGGCCAAGCTGGATGTGCATCCACACTCCCAGGGGCTTGGGATCTATCTGAGAGCACTGGGCCAATGCTGATTCTCTAATTAAACTAATTAACAGTCACTGGGGCAGGTCACAGCCCTGATTTTCACCCCAATGACCGAGCAGTTGCTGCGGTCAGGTCGGGAATAAACCCTCCCGGTTGGATGGGGCATTCCCTGGGGATCCCCATGAGCTGGGGCCGAGCAGGGCTGCAGCCCCCAGCCCCAGGCGTGCCAGGGCTATTCCCCCTTCCCACGGCAGATCCAGAGGAGCTCCTACTCGGTGGCGTTCGACGAGCGCTTCTCGGTGCCGCTGGACCCGGCGGCGCTGGAGGAGAACAGCCTGCGCTTCTCCGTCTTCGGCGTGGACGAGGACGAGCGCAGCGTCAGCACCGGCGTGGCCGAGCTCAAGCTCTCCGACCTGGAGCTGGCCTCGCGCCCCTTCAACGCCTGGCTCTACCTGCAGGACACCAACAAGGTGAGCCAGCGGTGTCCCTGCTCCCAGCAGGGCTTTGGGACGCGGCTGTGTCCTGACTGTGGTGTCCCTCAGGCGGTGGACACGGTGGGGGAGATCCTGCTCTCCCTGAGCTACCTGCCCACGGCCGAGCGGCTCACTGTGGTGGTGGTCAAAGCCAAGAACCTGGTGTGGAGCAATGGGAAGGTGACTGCAGGTGAGGGGGGCTCCAAGGTGGGGTTTGTCCTGATTTATCCTGTTTTGCTACATGGGAGTGGCTCCCTGTGAGGACAGAACTGCTGGGAAGGGCCACCAGAAAGGTCCCCCTGCTTTCCCCACATGATTGGGAACACTGATCCCTCTCCTGCCCTCCGAGCAGATCCCTTCGTCAAGGTGTACCTGCTGCAGGACGGGAGGAAGATCAGCAAGAAGAAGACAGCGGTGAAGAGGGGAGACACCAACCCCGTGTTCAACGAGGCCATGATCTTCTCCGTGCCCGCCATCGTGCTCCAGGTCTGGCTCAGCCTGGGGGGGCACATCCCAGGGCTCCTCAGGGGAGCTCCTGGGGGTGTGGTGTTCTGGGGGCTCATTTTGGGGGTTGTGGGTGTGTGTGGGTCTGGTTTGGGGTGGATGTGTGTGTGGGCTGTTGTGGGGTATATGGATGTGTGGGGGCTGCTTGGAGAGGTGTGGATGTGTGGAAATGGCTGCTGGAGGGAGGATATGGATGTGTGGGTTGGAATACAGCAGGGTGTACAGGGATGGTTTGGTATGTGGACAGGGCGAAGATGGGTTAGGGGATGTGGGGTAAAAAGAGGGGGATGTGGGGTAAAAAGAGGGGGATGTGTTAGTCTGGGGGGATATGAGGGTGGGTATTTAGGGATTTGGGGGGCCTCAAGAACAGGGGGTGGGCTTGAACAGGGTGTGGGCCCAGAGGGCCATGTGTGTGTGGGCTATGGCAGGCTGGGTGGTGACGCACAGATGTGCTGGCCTGGTGGGTGCATGTCCCATGCAGAGGGCACAGGGACATGCATCTGGCTCTGTGTGTGTGTGGTGACATCCCCGTGCCCGGCAGGAGCTGTCCCTGCGCGTGACGGTGGCCGAGAGCGGCGAGGACGGGCGCGGTGACAACACGGGCCATGTGCTGATCGGGCCGGCGGCCAGCGGCATGGGCACCACGCACTGGAACCAGATGCTGGCCACGCTCCGCAAGCCCGTCTCCATGTGGCACCCGCTGCGCAGGAATTAGGGTCCCCAGATCCTGGGGACAGCGGGCCCACAGCAGGGACTCGGTGGCACCCACAGGGCCGAGCTGCTGAGGGGCCCAAAGCACCCGGAGCATGGAGAGCGGCTCCGTGGGCACATTCCAGGTCAGCCCTGGAAGTGCCGGGCCAGAGCTGCCAGGAAGGAGCCAAATGGACCAAAACCAGCAGGAACCTCCCCAAACTGCAGCTCCCGAGTGTTCCGCGTTCTTCCAACGGCCTTGAAATCCACGGAATCCTCAAATGGGGACTCTGAGCGAGGGAGAGGGGGGATTCCTTTGGAAGGTGGTTCTTGGGTGGGATTCCTTTGGAAGGCGGTTTTTGGGTGGGAATCGTGAGGGGGGTGCCAAGAGCCAGCCTGGCGTGGGTGGTGATCCTGAGGGGATCTTTTGTAGTGACTTTGGTGCCCTGTGCCAGGGTTGGAATGTTTCCAGTGAGAATGGAAAAAGGGAGCAATAACAGCAGAAAATCAATTGTTACATACGACTTCTCCTCCTGTCTGTTCCCCCACACAGCAAATCCCTGCCCATCTCCACTGGCTGCATAGGCAGGGATGGGTTTCCAACCACTTGGTTTCCAACCTCTTGGGTTTGAGGTCAGATCCACACTGGGAACATCCCCTAAAGGTCCAGTAGGATCAGGGGCAGCTTTTCCCACCCCAGCCACTTTTCCAACCCAAACTCACCCTCAGAGTGCTCAGGACAGCACTCCAAATTCCTGCTCCTTAACACAACTCTCACAACTGGGGATTGTTTATTCCAGCCCCTAATCCTGGTCTTGGGCTGTGACTTACCCTATAACCTGTTTTATCCAAGATTTGGGCATAGAGAAGAACATCTTTGCCTTGTGACCCAAGGCATGTAAAAAAGGTCCCTAATTTTATAATTTTTAAGCCCAACTCCTGTTTTAGAAGGAAGCTTGTGTGGATCCTGTCTGCTGCTGGGCTCTGTCCCAAGCCAGGTTTGGGATTTTTGGGGAGCTAATTCCCACTCTGGTTTGTGGAGGGTGATGGAGCCCCTCATGGCACAGGCTGGAGAGCAGAGGATGCACTGGGGCCACATCCCTGGAGCCTGCAGCCTTGGCTTTTCCCTGCCTGCAGGATGCTGGTGGGAAGCCAGGCTGGAAAGTCTGGGGGTGTCTGGGACCCTGTGCCATGGAAATGGCACCGTGGCATGAGCACAGGCTGGGATGTGGCTGCTTGGATAACCTGAGCAGGGAAAAAGCTGTGAATGAGCCATTTATCTGCTTTTCCCTGGTTAAAAATTAACTCCAAGGTGAGTTATCCCCTGAGCTGGTGGCACTTTTCCCTTCCCATCTGTGCTGCCTGACCTTCCCTTTGGGACAGGGCTGTGATGTCCCTGTTCCATCATCCCCCTCCACTCACTGGTGCCCAGATTCCCTTCTCCCACACTTCCCCACCTCTCCCCGTCCCACCCACTGCCAGGGGAGCCAGTGCCACCCCTCCATGCGTGATGCACAGCACCAAGGCACCAGCCAAGCATGGAGGGGTTTGAAGGATGAAGTTTTTCACAGTGAAGTGGGAAGTTGTTCACAGCCAGTGCTCACAGCCCACGAGGTTTGGGGGAAAATGTGCTTATCAGCTATCCCAGCCAAGTATTTGGGAAGAGATGGACACAGAAATCCTTGGCTGTCTGGCAGCTCCTGCCAACTGCTGAGCTTTACTTGGGATGAGGTGAGTGACTTCCAGAAGTGCTGGAATCTGTGAGGTTTAGCCCCAGAAGGATGGGGAATGTGTGGGTTTAGGCATTTTTCTTGTGCTCCTCTCCAGCCATTCCTATTTGGAAGCACCTCTGCACCTTCTCCTTCATCCTGGGGACAGAAAATGCTGCTGGAGCTATTTTGGGCGTGGGATGGATGGACTCTGTGTGAAGGATTAGGAAAAGGTCCAGGATGGACACAAGGCTCCCTCTCACCTGAAAAGCTCACATGGCTGCACCTGCTGTCACTGTGGGCTTTCCCAGTGGGAATCAGCCTCCAAGGAGCTCTGTGGGAAGCAGGACAGCTCTGGCAAGGGACAGGCAGCAGTGAGGAGGGAGAGACCTCCCAGTGGCACAGGAAGGCTCTCCTAGGAAAACGCTTCCATGTGCTGGACCAGCTCCTCGTGGTGCCAGCATGGTTTGGGCTTGAGGCCCAAATCCATCCCTGTTCCCATCCCTGGAGCAGGGCTGAGCCCCCTCCTGAGCCCCTGGCACAGGTGGGGAGGGAATGGCTGCAGTGTGGACAGGCTGGCTCCCTCCAGCTCTGAGCAGAGCCAGGGGATTGCTGGGCTGGGACACATCCATTTCCTCAGCCATCCTCCCTGGAGCACAGGGTCACCCATGGTTTTCCATGCCTCCCACGTTCCTGTTTCCAGGCATCCATCATGTGCTGCCGCAGGGACCGATGTGACAGTGACAGCTTTGGGTGTTTAATGCCCGTTTCACCAGCATGCTCTGGCCCCTGAGTGCATCCATCACCGTGTCTGTAGGGATAACCAGGACAATGCAGCAGCTCTCCCTCCCCTGCACCTCGGGAAGGCTCCCAGCTCCAGGTTTCCCCCCAGAATGGAGCCCCCTATTCCACCCAGGCCCAGCACAGCAGCTTTGCCCCAGGGGATCTGGGGCTTTGAGGTTAAAAAAGCAGGATTCAGGTCCTTCATTTCTCCTTGTCTTTCTTTTTGCCCTTCCTCTGGCTCGTCAGCTCGCCGAGCTTCTGGTCTAGGCGGCGCTGGAGGTGGGCTCGCCTGGCGGGATCCAGGGATTTGTCCTTGGGGCCGCTGCCGGGGTACAGGATCCCCTCGCGGCTGATGCGCTGCCGGGCCTGCGCCTTGGCCCTGTCCCCACAGCCGTGCCCCTGCGGAGAGAACGGGCACCGGGGCATGGATCACCCTCCTGGCAGCCAGGGGCTGCCACTCCCCGAGCCTGCAATTCCTGTGGGGCCTGACTGCATCCCCCTGGAATCATCTCCCACCATTTACAGCCATTCTCAGCATTTCGTTATATACTATTATATATTGTGCTGTTATATGGCTTTATATACTTACATATTTTTACAATTTCAGTTCATTATTTTATTATCATTGTTTACTATTTTTATGTAATTAATTTATATATTTACTTATACTGTTTTATTTAATTTTATTTCAATTATTATTGTACTATTATTGTTTATTATCATAGTTTACTATTTATTATCATTGTTAACTATTTATTTTATTTCTATGTATTTTCATTTTATTTTTATTTAGTTTCATTTTATATTTAGATTCTATATTTTTATAGATTTATTCTTTATTTTTATAGATTTATTTTAATTATCATTGTACTATTGTTTATTATTATCATTGATTACTATTTATTATCATTGTTTACTATTTCTTTTATTTCTATGTATTTTCATTTTATTTTTATTTAGTTTCATTTTGTATTTAGATTCTATATTTTTATAGATTTATTCCTTATTTTGATAAATTTATTCTTTATTTTTATAGATTTATTCTTTATTTTTATAGATTTATTTTATAGATTTATTCTTATACTTAGTGTTTATAATTCATAATTAATGTTTATTATTCTGCGCTTTATTAAATCATCTTTATAGCTCCTCTCACACAAAATGAAATATAAAGATCCAGGTCCTGGGCTCTGAACAGCAGGTAAATCATCCTTTGGGATGGTTCAAGTGGCTCTTTCCACCTCCTTTCCAGTGAATTGGGAAAGGAGTTTTGGGGAATGGGAGACCTTTTTTAGCCATGAATCTGCTGCTTTAATGAGCAAAGTCCAATACTGGAATTATCTCTCGCAGGTGACATCCGAAAATCTGATTCCTTTTCTTGGCCCATCCCAAAGTCATTTATGTTTCCATGGAGTTTGGTCCCAGCCTGTTCCCTCAGAGCTGTGACAGCCCTTCCCAGGGCTGACATAGATTTGAATCCCTACCACTGTTGGAGCCTTGTCACAATTCAGCAGGGAGAGGCCATTCTGCAGGGAATAAATCTCCATCCCCCTGGATGTGAGTGACCATAAATACAACTATTCCTTGCCATGGAAACAGATAGCTCTTGACAGAGGAAAAAGCTTGCCAAGGATTTATAGGGCTGCTGAGCTCCTGGGAGTTCCACAGGGTGAGGAACAAGGACACAGGGAATTCTGAATTGCTGGCCAGGCAGCACTGCACCGTGCCTGTCCTGTCCCCAGGATGCAGAGACAATCTGCAAAGGGCTGGGATCACCCTCACAATGCAGAGGGGAACGTGCAAAGAGCTGGGAATTGAGTCCAGGCTCGCTTCAGCCTGAAACTTGTGCTTCTCCATTTCTGCTCTCTGCCTCACTTTATCCACATGGCCTCAGAGTGTCAGAGCCAGAACATGGTAAAGAAGGGCACAAAATGAGAGGAAAACACAAAATTCCTCAGGAAGAGGTGAGCAGAGCCCAGCTGGCAGCACCTGCCAGCCCTGTGTACCTGAGGTCAGCACAGGCCCTGACAGGGAGGGCTCTGCTCAAACTCCTTGCAAGGAAACCCTCCATGCCCAGGGAGTTCCACAGGGAGAATTCCCAGGCTGAGCCCATCCTGCCCCTCCTTACCTCGGGGATGTGGTGGCTGAGGCAGAAGAGCCGCTGGCAGTGGTGGCAGAGCTGGCCCAGGGTGGTGACAGAGGCCTTGCAGCGGGGGAAGGCACAGGTCCTGTCAGCTTCCATGGCAGCCGAGATCAGAGCATCAAAATCCTCTCCGGCCACGTTCCCGATCGCTGGCTTTGCTGGGAAAGGTGAGCACACACCGGGGTTGGGGCCTGGGAACAAACTCACCCTCCTGCAGCCCCAGGGCAGCCTCTGCCTTTACATCCTTCAGTGTGGGCAGGCACTCCCCTCAGCTCCTCTCCCCACCCCTGGGAGCCTCCCATGTGATTCCTGAGCCTCTCTCCTGGGAAAGGGTCTCCACTGTTTTCCCTCTCACAGAATGTGCCTCTAAGTATCCAAATCCCTCTATCTGGATGCTGCAGCCAGTTCTCATCTCCCTGCAGCTTTCCAAGAACCACATGCTCTATGCCCAAATCCCAAACTCTGGAGCAAACCCAGCCGGATTAAGACCCATTCAAGGAAGAGCATTAATTGTGCTGCTTACAAAAATCTTCACCCACCTTTGGCTTCACTTTTGTCCTTTTTCCTTTTGCCGCTCTTGGGCTCCTGCACCTTCCTGGCCGCCTCCTCCCGCCTGGCTTTCTCCCTCTGGACTCTCTCCAGGTGCAGGGATTTCAGATCCACTTTCCCTGAGCTCTTGCTGCTCTCCTTTGGCTCCACAGGGTCAGGGGTGTTCCCGTGGGGATGCTGGAGCTCGGGAAGGGGCTCGGAGGGCAGTGGGGGCTCAGAGGACAGCGGGGGTTTGGGAAGGGGCTCAGGGGGCAGCTGGGGCTCAGAGGACAGTGGGGACTCAGGAAGGGGCTCAGAGGGCAGCGTGGGCTGCTTGGGGACTCCCTTGCGGACACTGATGTACCTGTCCCGGCCCTCCCCAGAGCTCAGGTGCTGCAGCCCGTACTCCTCTGCCAGCACATGGACCAGCATCCGCTCGTGGGAATTCAGGGATGCTGGGAAATCCAGCTGTGCCTCGCTGCTCGCCAGGAAGGCCACCAGCATGGCCCTGAACCTGTCCCCACCCTCCTTTGACCCTGAGCTGTCCCTCCCAGCTGTGGCATTGCTCGGGGAGCTCCGTGCTCCCAGTTTCTGGCTCCCCGCTCCGGCCGCCGCCGCCTTGTGCTTCCCAGCCGGAGCCGGAGCCGGCTGCGCTTTGGGGCCCGGCGCTTTGGGGCCTGGTGCTTTGGGGCCCGGTGCTTTGGGGCCCTGCTGGCGCTGGGCCTGGCCCTCCCCGGGGTAGTTTTGGGGCACGAGGTCATCCAGGTATTCGAAGGCAGAGCGCACGAGGCCGTGCTGGGCCAGGTGGTCCAGCAGGCGCCGCAGGAAGGGGCGGCTGCCCACGGTGCGGCTGTCACACACCACGGCCACCTGGCGCCGCGCCCGCGTCACCGCCACGTTGATGCGCCGCTCCTCGGCCAGGAAGCCCACCTCGCCTGGGAAAACAGGAAGGAAGGATGCCAGAGGGGACAGGGACCCTGTCAGGCAGGAGGACAGGTAGAGGGAGACCCTATGCCCTCCAAGCAGGGGTTTGGTCCGAGGGATGCAAGGCTTTATTGGCTGGAGGGTGAGATTTGGCATTTATGGATTTCTGCTCACAGCTGTTCCTCTTCCTGCCTATGTTGCACAGGCTCCCTGCAGGTTCCCTGCTTCCTGGGGCAGGGAAGAGCATGGAAGGCACATGGAAAGGGGAAATATCTCCCTGCCTGGCCCGCAACACAAGCTCACCTTGGAGCTGGGAGCAAACACAAGATGGAGCAGTGTGGAAAAGGCTCACCTTGCAACAGAGGAGGGACTGCAGGTAAGGAGCTCTCCCCTGTCCTACAGAGCTCCCACTCTCCCAAATCCCCTGGGGTCTGTAGGAAGAGCCATTTGGGAGCTTTTGCTGCTCACAGGCAGCACGAGAGCCGGCAGTGCGGGATGACTCAGGCAGGATCAGGCAGCGCGAGCGGAGCGTGGGTGGCTGCGAGCTCCCAGCTCCAGGGAACAGCGAGCAGGCCAGGCAGGAGGAGATTAATGCCTCTGCCAGAGCAGTGCCCAGCCTGGCTCTGCCTCAGCAGCCTCTCCTGGGCTGCCTCTCAGGGACAGGCTGAGGGGGAGCCCCTCTCCCTGCTCTGCAGCTCGGGGAGCAATTCCCAGTTTCTCTGATGAGGTTTAACCCAGCTGCAGGAGCAAATCCAACTCCTTTGAATCCTGGAATGGTTTGGGTTGGGAAGGACCTTAAGGCCTGTCCAGTTCCACCCCCTGCCAGGGATACCTTCCATTATCCCAGACTCCAAGCCCTGTCCAACCTGGCTTTGGACATTTCCAGGGATGGGACAGCCACAGCTTCTCTGGGCAATCTGTGCAGGGCCTCAGCACCCTCACAGGGAAAAATTTCCCCTTAATTGAAGGTTTCCTGCTGGATCAGGAATGGCTGCAGAGGAACAGGTCAAGGAGAAACCTCCCTGTGCCCCAGAAAAAGCAATTCCTGCCCCACACCTGAGCTTTGGCCTCTCCCTGTGCAGGAGAAGGGGCTGTGGGACCCTCACCCTCTGAGGGCCACCAGCTCCCAGCAGCACAGGGGTGAGTCACTCCTGGATCAGGACTATTCTTAGTGCTGTCCCCACCTCCATTCTCCCCACAAGGCTGCTTTTCCTCCTCTAGGCTTGGAAAAAGAGGCATCTCCTCCTTCCATGCATATTTCCCCCCTTTTTTCCCCTTCCAGCCCCCCAGCAGCACAGGTAGGGCCACAGGACTGTGGGTTTGGAAAGGGAATTGATCCCAGCATGGAACAGAGGTGATCACAGAACAATCCTGCCGAGCCAGCTCCATCAAACCATTCAGCTCCCTGAACAGGAGCCTTGTGCCCCCAGGGCAGCAGCTTTTTTCCAGCTATTAACTTCCACTGCAGCTGCTGATAGCAAAGAACTTGATTTTCTGCTCTAGATTTTGCTCCCACAAGCAGCATTTTCCATGCACGGCTTGGGATGCCAGCTCCTGCTCACTTTCTGCAGGGAACTCACCCAAAATGGGCTCAAAACCCAAGAAATTCCCCCCCACCTCCCCTAAATGTGGGGCTAATGGGATGTGACATTCTTAGGGTGCTGGTTTAAATAATTTCTGATGCCTCAGTGCTCAGGGAACCTTCAAACTGAGCACTCCTGGACCTGCTGTAGCACAGGAGCCTCCCCTGCAGCCCTGACAGCACATATATCCATTAATTAAACAAAAAAGCCTGAAAAGGGAGGGTTTGCCAGTAGATCCATCCAGAGCCAAGTGTTAGAGCACTGCAATTAAACCACAGCACTTGGCTACACCACTTCCTCCCCATTCCCAGGGGAGCAATCTCCAGCAGCCAGGTCTTACCTTTCTTGTTGGATCTGACAAAGGACAGGATCACTGCCTCCTTCTCCCTGCCCTGGAACCCATCCACTGATTTAATTTCCAGCTCGGGGTGGCTGTGGCAAAGGTGCTGTCTGAGCATGTCCACCTGAGAAACAGGCCAAGGGCAGCTTTTAAAGGAAATACATGGGTGCAAAGGATTAAAACAGCAGGGTTTTGGGGGAATCCCTCCCTCCCAAACCCACAAGAATGAGCATCTCCTGAGGCTGTGAGTGGAACACCTTGCTAACAGCTCTTCCCTCCACAGCCCCAAGCTGCTCAGAGGTGCAGGAGCTGGTCCCAAATGCTGGTTAAATTTGGCTCTTGTGGTGCTCTGTGTGCAGGGACAGGGACAGCTCACCTGGAGGTTGTAGGGGGCCACCACAGCGATGTCCTTGGCCTTCACACCAGCGTCCACCAAGGCCTGCACGTGCATCCCCACCAGCTGGACCTCCCCTGGGACAGGGACAGAGTGTGACAGGGGACAGAGGCCAGAGCCATGTGCCCACCTCCCCCAAAACAGCAGGAAAGGCTGACATGAAAGGGTTATCCAAAATGGTGCCTGGTTCAGAGGGATCTAAGGGGAAAAATTAAATCTTGTATGAATTATTTCATGGTTCATTGGCTGGGCTTCTGCTTTGCAGCAAAACACAGCAATAAACATCAAGACTCTGCAGTGAGCTGTGCCAAAAGGCTGCCTCCCAAATTTGGGGAGAAGTGCCTCTAATCCTCTGCTCCAAATCCCTGAGTTCTCTCAGACCAGGCTTTTTGGCTCTCCATGAGGGAACAAGAGCCTGTTGTGTTCAGCAGGGCTCTGGGAATGGTGCATGGAAAAATGAGGCACTCAAATGATGCTGGGGGTCAAACAGAAGGTAAAAGATATTTAAACTGGTAAAAACTGCCCTTGTGTTTTCCAGCCTGACTTTGCACTCAAGCTCTGTGATGAAATCCACTTTTTCAGGTGAAAAGCAGCAGAAGTTGGTGTCCCAGGAAAATCCATGCAGAAGAACCAGACAGGATTTCATGGAATGAGCAGAGGACTGGGAGGTAATTCTGAACCTTGTCCATGGCCTTCCCAAAACAGGCCTGTGCTCTGCCTGGTGCTATTTGCCCCTCCTTGCTGTAAAGCACCTCCACAGGGATTCTCCACCCTGTCCCAGCCCTCAGCATGGAGAAATGTCCTTGCAAGGGGACATGGCAGCAGGAGAGGCCACCCACAAGCTGGATACTGTCCCCAGAGCTCCAACACAGCTCAGAGTCCCTGGAGGCTGAGGATTTATGGAGGGAAGATCTCTCAGCTAAGCAAGGCTCTCTGGGACCCCATGGGAGACATCTCTGGGTCGTGGCCAAGCCTGTGGTGGGCTGAGCACCTCAGTCCATCCATTCTGGTACATGGATTCCCATTCTGGTACCTGGATTCCCCTTGGACTGTTCATCCTCCACTTCCAGCTCAAACAGGCCACAGCCAGCGGTGTCTATGAGCAACAGGGGAGTGCTGGTCTCTTCTGTGTCACAGACACCTGGCAGGTCCCTGCACAAGGTATGTGGGAAAGAGCCAGTTACCAACACTGCTATTACAGCAATATCCACCCAGTCTGTGCCTGCCCTATCCCTGGAAGAGCCAGGCTGGATGGGATATGGAGCAGTCTGGTCTAGTGGAAGGTGTCCCTGCCCGTGGCATGGGACTGGGTGGGCTTCCAACCTCCCAACCCAAATCATTCTGGGATTGCAGATTATCATAGCAAAGGAGGACACAGAAGAAAAGTCTGCATCACTTCTGGTTACAGAGCAAAAAGGACACACCCCCCAGTAATGTCTCCTCGATGAAACAGTGGCTGAAACAAAACCACTGCCCCAGCCTCAGGAGGAGCGGAAAACTCTGCAGGGAAGGGATAAACAGGGATGAAAAGAACACTTCAGCTCCTGCAGGAACCCACCTGAGCAGGTGCTGTGCCACGGAGGGGTGCGCGCTGAGGTGGCCGCCGTAGAGCTCCGAGGACGCCCACTCCATGATG